TTGTGCAAAATCTTATGCGTGGAAAGAAGAAAACACTTGTCGTGGCCTTCAACTCGACATTTAGATATATGCACGACATATTGTCAATTAACAATGGTATAAATATCTATTCTTATGTCGATATGATATATCCTGGTGAGCTTGAGATAACAGATACGCCAGTGTCTGACACATCTGTTTCATTTTTTTTTTTTTGGATATTTTACTTGAAAAAGACGTTAATGGCAATCTATCAACCAACTGCAGCTCTATGATAAACATGATGACTTTAACTTTTCTATCGTTAACTTCCCTTACTTATGCAGCAATATACCTTCATCACATACATACGGAGTTTACTGTGTATATATCTCAGTTGATTCGATATGCAAGAACGTGCTCTATGCATGAACAATTTCTAAAACGAGGTAAATAATTGACAAACAAGTTGATGAAACAAGAATATCAGCAGTCTCGTTTCAAGTCATCATTTCGTAAATTCTATGGTCGATACAATGACCTTATCAGCAAAAACAATGTATCATTGAGTCAAATGCTGAATGACGTTTTTCAATCCATTATTTATACACTGAATTGACAATGGATTTTTGCGTTATTTCACGAGCATGACAAGGAGCACACGGCAGGTGTGACTGGTAGGCAGGGGATGCTCACTCTTCCATGGCACCTGATCCCACCTTTTGATGTTTTGGAGGTCCGTGTTTGCTCTGCTCCTATTTTGTATATTGTTTTATGGACTTTTGATCTTGGATACTGTTCGTTATCTACATATGTTTTACTGTAATAAATTGCGTTTTGGCTAAACAAATCACATACTGACTGCATGGCACTATAGAAAATTTTGACAATTGGTTGGTTATCAACACCAAATTTATTACTTTCATTTCCGAAAGAAATGTATCCAGAGCAATTTTACGTCATTAAATATGCTTAACTTTGGGATACAAGTATTCTCTAGCATCTGATACACAATTTTTAATTTTTATGTTGAACATCAATTTTGTGGAGGATATTCAATATTTCGTAGTTGGATGTGAAATTTATTTCACGACTGGGACCAGGGCTTTTAAAAAATATTTTCATGAGTGCGAAGCCTGTCTCAATCGTGAAATAATTTCCATATTCAAAAACATGCTACATTTTACAAGTAGCATAAACAGGGGATGCTCGGTGTTTCGAGTTTGGATATGGATAATTTTATTTATTTAAGTGGAGCAGTCGATATGTTTTTTTTTATTCATTTGTATTTTCAGGAGTAGGAAGCACGATTGAAAATATCTTTTAAAAATCCTGCATGTCTTGCAAGACAAATAAATTCCACATTCAAGGTATTCAATGCTTTGAAGTTGGATGTGGAATTTATTTCGCAAGTTTGACGTGATTTATTTTTTACAAGTGTGAGGCAAGGGTTAAAATATTTTTTTTGAAGACCCTGTCTCGCAAGTAAAATAAATTCTTATTATTATTCTTATAAATTATTCCAATGCTTGAATAAATACAGAATTTTGAATGTTCTCATGCAAGCTCGTGCATTTGTACAGCCAACTTGTGCAAATATTCACCAATATATGTTCAATAACTCCTTTATATAAATAGAGAATACTGAATGTTCTCTAGTTAAAGGATCAATTTATTTCACGCGTAGGGCACTCGTGATATTTTTGATGTTTCACGAGTGAGAAACAAGTGAAAATACACTAATATCAACCAAAAATAGAAAAAAAACTCTCTGGGGTGAAATAATTTCCACATATAAAATACTCCTATATAAACAGCGTATATTCAATGTTTTGAAGCAGGATATGGAATTTATTTTACAAGTGATACAATAGATCTTTACTGGAACAATAGTTATACATTGTATTTTTAATACATTTTTCACAGGTGCGAATAAAAAAAAAACATTCCACTTGTGAAATATACTGTACATCCAACTAAAGAATATTGAATTTTCTGTTTCATACAATTTGTTTGATTTTTCCTTTGAGTCTTAGATGAGCGGTTTATAGACCAAGTAGTAGAATAAGAAAAAAGGTTAACATGAGTTTCACAAATTTCTAATGTTCTTTTTTTCTTTTTTTTTTGACTAGTATCAGATGTTAAATTTGTACTCATGCCTCATGCGAGTCCCTTGAATGAATAAAATGTTTCAAAGTTTTAAAGATGAGACTGCAACGGTATGCTATTTTCAATTTGTTTTTTAAAAAATTATACAATGTAAGCTAAATAAATAAAGGGTAAATTCCAACGATTAACATACTAACCATGATTATTTTCTATGAGCGTTCCATACATGAATACAAGTTGCATGAATTCAAAAACAATTGTTTCTGTAGTAAAATTTCAGACTGTAGCATGTAAAATCAAACAAACCACATCATGGCAACTGATTTATGTTCACAATTTTTACGTTGAATATTAATTATTCAATAATGGTAGTTGTATATGGAAATTATTTCACGAGTGGGATAGGATTTTTTTTCTATAGATGTATATATTTTCACAAGCGCGAAGCAAGAGTGAAAAAGTGTATATATACGTATTTATTTTAAATTCCGCCTCGCTAATGAAATAAAGAAATAAATTCCATATTCAAAATATATGTACTAAATGTAGTATAAACAGAGGATGTTCAGTGTTTTAGGTAGGATATGGAATTTATTTAATGGGTGGAACAATCGTGATATTCTTTTTTATATATTTTCAAGAGTGCGTAGCAAAAGTCTTGCATCGCGAGTAAAATAAATTCCGAATCAAATACTAGTTTAAATCATTTTCTTCATGCAAACTCACCTCACAAAATTGAAAGAATAAATGTTTCATCAGTGTTTAAGGTCAAACGACATGTTCCTCTTAAATACATCTTTTGTATTTTATGGTATTATATGAAAATATGCATATTTGTCATTCTCTTATGATTTCTACATTGTTTTCAATATGTTTTTGAATATATAAATACATCAACAACTGTGATATACACCATTCAGATGATTACCAATATGGGATATATAAGAAATATCACCTTTGGTATCTTGTCCAAATGCCTGGTAAGGTAACCTAATTTTTTTTTAGGAAACTAATTGTTTAAGTAACTATACTTTAATGACAAATTCTTGGGAAAAATTATATAATTTTGAGGAACGTGTGTCTCACCTTAACAGAGAGAGAGAGAGAGAGAGAGAGAGAGAGAGAGAGAGAGAGAGAGAGATATTACAACTGTCATGCAAAGAGAGATAACTTTAGTTTGTCTATAGGGTTTTGCAAGTGCTGTCTGGTTCATAGTTTGACATGCCATAAACTTATGTCTTCTCACAAATTTTTGCTCAAAAAGTTGTTTGATTTCGTTGATATCAAAAACTGTTCAATTTATAAATCGTTCTAATGGAGACAGGACGAGAAAAAAATTGTGAATAGGGTAGCAATTCACATGTCATCGCATTCAATGGAATGTTTCAAATTTCTATGATAGTTGGTAAAATATTACAATACATGAATTCCATTTCTTAAAAAAAAAGTAAGGAAAGGATGGACTAATTGACCACTATATCATTTTTTTTTAAATGTATTGTTCTTTGAGATTACGAAATCTAATTGTTGCTGAATAAGCACTCATAAAAGCTGCAAATAACGTAAACAGTTGTCAAACCTGTACATGTACTTGGTTTTCTTTTTGCTGAAGCTCTAAAAATACTTTCATGATTTTTCAATGATGCATATTGAATCTAGGTACATGTTTTCATCTGATTTCAATACACGTTGTCTATGATTGGATTATCTCATGACTTCCTTTTTCACCTACCTATCAAGTGCAATACATGTATGCCTTAAAATAAATACATGTTAGGCCATGCAAAATTAATTCCTTGGTTCTCAGGCCTTTTTTCAAGAAATATGATGAGGGAGGGAGGCATTCTTTTTTCTTTTTTATTGCCCCCAAAACATGATGAGGCAGCTTTTTACATTGTACAAAACCTCAAAAAATGATGAGGGAGGTGATTTGGTGTTTATATTTAATTGATTTAGCAATAAAAAGGGTCAATGAGGCACCCTTGGAAGAGATGAGGGAGGGCCTGAGAACCAAGAAATTAATTTTTTTTGGCCTTAGGAAGGAAAATGATATATGACCAATAAGAAAGAAAAGACAATCATTGTCACTGCTAAATGACAGATAGGATAATTAGATCTGGACGATGGATATTCAAAAAGACATAAAAAGAAAGGCGTTATCAAAAAAAAAAAAATAATATAATAAAATTACTTTATCATGCTTAGGGTAATGTCAGTGGAACATATGGTACTGGAATTTTTTTTTTTTTAGAGTTACGCAAATTTGTTCATAAAATATGTATACCACTAAACCCACCCACCACACACTGTGTCAAATCGGATATAGAGATGTCTTTCCTATTTTCTCCAAATGGCTATCACCATTAAAAATATTTGTCTTGTCATCTTTGAAGTCTTCATTCTTTCTTACTTTAGAATATACAGGGTTCTCCTGAGATGGGTTTACATAATTCTAGCTTTGCACAATATTTGCACGAATATCTCTACATGTAAAGAAGAAATAAAGATACTTATGATTTTCTCTCTCTCTCTCTCTCTCTCTCTTTCTCTACAGACCTGTGGCAATGACTTCCAAATGGAAGGGGGTGCACAAAATATATTTGACAAATCAAATAATAAAATCCTTAACTATCCACACTTAAAAGTCTTGTTCCAGGAGAAAGGGTTTCAACTCCTATATTTGGACCAAAATTTTTCTTGTAATAAAAAGGACGATATAGAAAAGTTTTGCCATAGAAAATATGGGGGAGGGACAGCCTGAGGGTAAATGTTTTATACTAAATTTAGCTTTCAATAAAAAAGGGGAAGTAACCTCAAACTGGACTCTCTCTCTCTCTCTCTCTCTCTGGCACTCTTTCTCTCTCTGGCACTCTCTCTCTCTCTGGCAAGCTGCCTGAACCAAGTTTGAAGAGAATGAGACAGAGAATTAATGGTTTGCTTTATGTCATATAAATATTTATTTACCAGTAAGTAAATTATTAATGTAATTATGTAAACATCTTGAATTACATAAACAGTTGCTGACAGAAGGAAGACCCCGATATACAATGTAATTATTACAATGTAACTAAGACAGATTTACATACAGGAGACTGTAATACAATGTAATTATTACAATAAATTATGTAATTATTACAGGTTTACATACAGGAGACTGTAATACAGTGTAATGTAATTATTACAGGCTTACATACATTAGACTGTTATACAATGTAATTATTACAGGACTGTAATACAATGTAATTATTACAGTCTACATACAGGGTGTAAACACAGTCACAATCCTAAAACTCCCACAAGTCCCAGCATATCTTTACAAGTCCACTAGCTGTCCATGAAGATTAAAATACACATAATGGAAAGTAAATCTTTGTTCAGATATCATTATAATGATTGTAAAGATGACAAACATTTTTGGAATGTTTTTTTTTTGATATGTCACAGGATTACTTCCCTTTGCTTGTGGCTCAACTGCCTTGATCTTGCTTCACAGTAACACAATAACTGTCTTATTAATAACGAAGCTATTCTTTGTTTAGCTAGTGTAGCATGTTAAGTACCGTTGACAGCACTTCGTGGGTTTGTCTGTAGCTGGGCCTGCATTTTAGCCAACATCTCCTGCATTCGTTGTATCTACAAAATACAATCAATCATACAAGACATACGGCATGATAAATAATTAAGAAGCACCTGCATCTGTTAAATATATTTTCTCTCTAGGATATCTTATTTTGGTTGTCCTTATTGAGGCCTCTTACTTTCCTGGCTGTTGATATCACTAAAACACTTCCCTCTCTACCTAAATATAGACCTATCATTATAATTTATCAGGAAGTTGAGCTGAGCTGTTTTCCTTGTTTTTAATTATTCAAAATATTTTTTTTAAATAGAAGTGCATTGAAAGAAATGATGATAAACTTTAAAAATATACAGATATTTCTTTCTAAGAAATACACTATGAAGTTTTCAGAACTTTTTCATCAAAACAATTGAATGTATGAGTCCTTTTGTAACTCTATACATATGAGACACAATTCCATACAGATTTATTTTGTTTTGGATTTCTGTTTACATCTACAAAGACTAACACTGACCTCTGCATCTTTCTGTGCTATTAGATTGTCTGTGTCCTCCAGCTGTCCTAGGTTTATCATAGACTCTCTCTTCAGTTTCCTAGACATGATAAAATCAAAAGATTAGAACACAGGCTAAAAACTCCTTTTAATTTTTTTTATCAAGTAGTCAATCAGACTTTATTGATTAAAAACAAGAAAACAATTTTAAAATAAAAATTGGATATATTTTGATACTTTTAATACATAACAGTACTTCATTAAGTACACTGATAATGTTATAAATCTAGCCATCATAAGCTTTTTTTGGTCAACAGATTAATTTATCCACGCCAATGATCCAGTACTCACGTTCTCTCCCTTGTTGAGTGTTTCATCTGAGAGGCTAAATGTTCAGCTCGGTAATTCTCATAATGTTTGTCTGAGGTGATATCTTTTAAATCCTGCATGTGGGTGCTGGAAAACATTGAACAAATTGTCAATCAACACTCAGTCACTGAGCAAAACATTGGATAAGAATGTGAAAATACGGCCATCTACAAAAGTGTACCCTACCTTATTAACATTTGTCGTAGTCTAACAAAATCACAATGGGCAGGATTGTCCACTGAAAGCAAGAACATAGATATTATATAGCATACAGAACTTTTATCATCAATTAAATTTTCAATTTTAAAATAATTAAACAACTGGGACTAAAATTGTGTTGTTTTTATTATCCCCCACTGGGAAGTACATTCTGACACAGATCTTGCACCTTTTGTTTACATGAGGTAAGATCGACAACTGTTTGAAGTTTAAGGTACATTCATTACCACTGTGTTGCTACCAACAACAGCAAATGGTATGGCTGCCTGAAACGAAATAGACATAAGTTAATATTCACGGATTCATTTCATTTGACCTACTTTTTATAATGACCTTGATCTCTAACCTCTGATGATACTGACCTTGAGAGCCTTATCCTGCTCCTTGAACTCATCATCTTCATCACTATCACACTCCGGGAACTGATAAATGTCAATCCCATTCTCTTCTATCTGTTCCAAAATCTACAAACACAAAAATAAGGTATTTCAAAAATTTAAAAGAGCTAAAGGATAAAGTCATTTAATTATCTTTTAATTATTTTTACTATAAATAGTACCTTGGACTTGATATTTGCTTTTTCCTTTGGTGTCAATGTGTCTGATTTGGCAATGAGAGGTATAATGTTGACTTTTTGGTGCAGTTTCTTCATCATAAATATATCTAAAGGCTTCAACCTAAAGACACGGACGTATCAATCAAGACTATCAGAGACATGAGTTATAGGAAAAATTCATCCTTTACAGTCAGGGAAAATACTAATACCAGTATCATAAAACTTTTGATACAAATTATTCAGAAGATCTGGCAAAATTTAATAGTGGCAGGTGTAGGACAGAATGGTGAAGAAAAGGGAAAAGATTTTAATATTGTAAACTTACCCGTGTCCATATGGCGATATGAAATACAGACAGCAGTGTACCCGACTGTCCTGAATATTTTTCCTGTTGACGCCACTCTCGGCCTGGTAAAACTGCTCAAACTGTCGATCAACATAATCAATGATAGGCTTCCAGCTGTCAAGACAAAAGGTCAGGTAAGTTTTTATAAATTCTATTTTCATATCAAGAAAACTTGTAAAGGGCATATCAGTAGATAATGTTATTGCCTTTTTGGGATAATTTGAACTTGTCAAAACGTTTGACTTTAGTAAGTGCCAATGTGCCTGTATTTACTTCATACAGAATAGCTGGAGACTTAAACTCACTGTCCAGCAAACTTTATTAAAGGGAAATGGAGTAGATTTCAATTTCTGTATTTTGTGCAAACTTAGTTTTCTATGATCTAAAGGTTAAACTTATGTCATCTTGTTGTTTGTCAGCTATTGCGGAAAGTCTAAGCTATCGGTAGAATTGTTCTACACTGAACTGATTTCTTATGGGGAAAAGTTTGATATTCTACATCAAATAGAGTATTCTCTAAATGCCATAAAAGGAACATAACTTAAAGATAATACTTAATACCTTGTGGAACTAAATAAAGTATAAACACTGCTTACGCTTCATCCCCCTTCAGGGAATCACTGAAGCCCGGGGTATCAACCACTGACAGTCGAACTTTGACCCCTCGCTCCTCAATGTCTAACTGTCTCTTCTCAATGTCCAAAGTTTGCTCAGGATTGTCTGTAATAAACCAGATATCAGTTGTTACAAAGCTTAACCAAGATATCAGATGTTATAATTATAAACAAAATATCATCATTAATCAAAACAAAAGGTGTAACAAAGAAGATATCAGTTGTTACAAACCTCAAAGTTAGAACTGTTAGAACAGGTGTAACAAAGCTTTAAAAAAAAATAGCAGATGTTGCAATTTTAAACTATATAAAATATTAGAAATTTTAACCAATTATGTTGCATAACTAAACTATATAAATATCAGAAATTTTAACAAGGATATCATTTACAAAGCTATCAGAATTACAGGAAGTCAGTTGTTAGAATTTTAAAATATGATATAAAATATTACAATGCTCAACTAGTATTTTAGGAAATCAGATGTATAAACTAGCACAGAGCTATTAACTAGGATATAAACTGTTATAATGCTAAACATTTGGATATAAACTGTTACAATGCTAAACTAGGATATCAGCTGTTTCAATGCTATGCTAGGATATCAATTGCTACAATGCTAAACTAGGATATCAGCTGTTACAATGCTAAACTAGCCTTTCAGCAATTTCAATGCTATACTAGGATATAAGCTATTTCAATGTTAAACTAGGATATCAGCTGTAACAATGCTAAACTAGGATATCAGCAATCACAATGCTATATTAGGATATCAGCTATTTCAATGCTAAACTAGGATATTAACTATTACAATGCTCTACTAGGATATCATCTTTTACAATGCTTAACTATGATCTCAGATGCCTGTTCAACAAAGCAAGCCTCAGGAAAATTTCTGTTGGAGGTATAAGGAATTTTGGAATGCACTCACTCTGCTGAACAGGAATCAGCTGTTACGAAGCATTTACATCTGTAGCCCTATATAACTTTAAGGGAAACTTTCTGACATACTCAGTATATCTACCAGGACTTTTTTGTCTTACCTAATACATGGACTGGGAGCTTCCTATCTTTGTAGAGGTCTGTGAGAAACAAACTGTTGATAAGGGTAGATTTTCCAAGCCCTGTTTCTCCTACAAAACAAAACAAAATATGTTGGTCAGAAACATCAAACACTAAATACACAATACAAATACTTGGTGCATTGTTGAGACCACGTGCTTTTTTGCACACAGAGGTGCAGAAAATAGGGCAAAGGAGAATCATAAAGACAGAAAAGCATGAGAATAAGGATAATGAAAAAGAAATGTTGACAGAGAGGGCAACAACAACGTATAGGAACCAAAAGTAATGAGTGGGGAAGTGTTTAATATAGAGCTATAGGCAAGAAGACACAAGAGAGAGAGGTGACCCAGGAAACAAGTATACTGTATGTTTGTCTAATGAACTAATATTTAAAAACATATTAATGCATTCTTATGTATAAAAATTCTTACCCACAACCATCAGACAGAACTCAAATCCTCGCTTAACTGCTTTCCTGTGAACTTGGTCTGGGAGTGTAGCAAAACCGATAAAGTCATCATCATCCTGCAAGAAAAAGACGAAAATGAAATGAAAATGTCTACTAATAAAAAGCTTTCTCCATACTGTTTTTTAGTCGAGACCTATTGTAGGTTTCACTGGTCTTTTACTGATGCTTGTGTCACCCTGTCTGTGCCTGTACTTGAATATAATTGTCACACTGTATCATCATCTTTGTTTGTGGGTGACAAATCTTTGTGGATTTTGTTGATCACTCTTATCCACAAATTTACATCAAAACAAACAATTTTTTTTTGTCTTTTGTCAATATATCTATTCACTGAACCTTATGAGTTACCTAAGAAATTACATCCACATGAACCATTTGCTTATCCACGAACATTGACCCCCAGGAATTATAATCATTCCACAGTATATTGCCTCACCTTGAACTTCACACACTAAGCTTTCCATTGGATTTTATTTTTTTTTTCTTTAATAATTGAATTTTTGAATCTAAAAGATGAAAATGCAGTATTCATAACTTCACAATATAAACATATTTACCCCTTCAAGTAAGAGGACCCCTACTGAGTTCAACTTCAAAGGGTTGTGATGTCATCTGAGGACAACCTTTGACCTTTAAGGTATTCATTAAAATGTCACCCACTGGCTATTTTACTTAGGGCAAAAAAATATTCACTTTACTGTCCTTTGTGCCACTTCAATTAAGAAAACATAGCACAGGGATTTTCTATTCCATCAACAATACCTACAGTAAGGGCGGTGAGTTTTTATATAAGGTTATGAAAATGGAAACAAAAAGAACTTGAGCCCCTGACATGCAACTCTGCATGATTGATATAAAATTAAGACAATTTTGAAAATTTGAGAAGGTACTACTTCTATTTTTAACTGATGACATATAAATCTTACTTGTAAAGTATATTATATAAAACTGATATAGATAAATAATTCTGAAAATTTCCCAGCATAAAAATTGAAAACAAATATATAACTTCTGTTTATTTCATCTTATAAGGAGTGGTACTGCAACACATCCTGCACGGCAACCATAAAACCCTGCTATACTATGTACCTGACACCCAGGACCACCTACAGATCGGCCGTGATACGCTTGTTTACTATCATTATGCCATACATTCCAGAGTGCGGGGACCAGTAGTTCTAGTTTTACACAAAGTACTGGTCCCCATTAAATGTCCACTCCTGCCATTAAGCAGACAATACTGTGTGTCCTGTAATTATAGCCATGTTATAGGAGATCATACATAAAAATGTCACCAGTCATTTCTCGCAATACAGAACGGGCCAGGCATTTCACCAAGTTACCATCAGATTGATGTCTTATTACTTACATACACTTATTTTCTTGATTTTATCTATATTTTTGACATATTCCATCTACATATAATTTTTATATTTCGATTCTAAATGTCATTATGATTTCTCATTTATTTGCTTATGTTGTTGCTAAATCATGTACTCACTTAAAATCAATCTTATTTTGATGAAGTTTTCCACTGGGAAAATGCAAAAACTGAAATCCTTTCATTATTTTAAACAACTTGTTACTGTCTTCCTAAAATTCAATAGTTTTTTTTAAATAAAACGTAAATCCTGGTTTAACAGTCCTGTAATTTGATGTTCAAGGGTGCTAGGAGGGTAGAATGTCCCAAAGTCACCTTCACATTCAAATGATCAAATTCCTTTTGTGAATTTTTTATATCAAACTGGCATTTTTAAAACATTGTGTGATAAATGATAAGAAAACTTCATTCATAAATCCTATGTAAATAAATTAAAGCATGTTATTTCAGTTCTCTTAAATTACCATATGAAGGAAATATTCATAATATTATTTGCATGTGAAAATCCACAAACTGCACCAATATTTAATTTTTAAAAAGCACTTTTGAGGGTGTGTATATATTTTTAGCATTGTGACTTAACAAAACTGTGAATGTTTTCATTTTTTTTTTATAATTTCTTCTGAACTAGCAAAAAAGATATGACTGAAAATAATTATGCACATGATTAACATATTACGTTCATACATAATTATAAAACGATACTATTAAAGACCAGGGGGTGTGATATAAAATTTTCGTCTGTAAATAGGTCAGTACTATCAGTTAATGACCAATAAGTGTAAAGCTGTCAAACTTGATATAGCGGGGAAATATTCTTAACAAAAATAACCACAGAAGTCCTAACGTCTGGACGCGGCCTCAGTGTAATCTGTCACGGCCCTGATTATGGTGTGTCACTAATGACAGATACCAAGACTGACCCATAGTGACCAATAGCTTTATGATGTTAATCTCTAATTAACACTGATTCACACCTGTAGAATGCCAGGTAACTTCTTTATGACATATCCTATTATATTTTTCAAAAACAACATACCAGGGTATACAGTTATGCTTGTGTCATATTACAACGAAAAATTTTAACCAGCTAGTGTATCTTGCAAGACAACACAGTACTGCAATTGGTGGAAAAAACTTGAACAATTTAGAATGTATAAATATGGGGGGAATAAAATTGAAAATTTTCATAAGTCTACCATAATCAGTCTTCCTGATAAAAACCTGAATGGTTACTTGACCAAGTAATCCCAACCTGTCTGCAATTGTTATAGGAAAGCCTCCAGTATTTCTCTTTTATCTTGTCAGACAATCTTTATTGCAAATGAGATGATTAAAATCAGATAAGTAAAAATCTGTAACCTGTCAAGAAAATCAAAACTCCAGAACCTCACTAGTTTCAATGTCATCAAAAAGAAAAAAAGAAAAGCTCTGATTTGGTCATCAAAGAGTTTCATCATCATTGATTTGATTTATAACTTTAAAACCTAGCATTAAGAAATATTGTCCCTCTTGTTTTACTTAATTGAGCTTCATGTATATTATAAGACTCTAAGTTGCTTAAAAAATAATGCTAAAAGTTCTAGACTGGGGTAAACATTTGCCTGTTGCACCCTTATATATCAATGTATGAACTCACCACTTTAACTGGATCAAGAGGGATTATTATGGGGGGACGGGGTTTCCACTGCTGTGTTTCCTGGGTCTCCGCCCCTCCCTCTGTAGCCTGGGGTTCCTCTGAAGCTTGACGTACGACAGACAGAGGTTTCTTACTAGCACTGGAGGAGCTGCTGGTCCTCCTAGGGGGGCGAACAGGGGAGGTCACCTCTGTCCTCCCACCACCTGCTTCCTCCTCAACTGACCCTGGTGAACTTGACCCCACATCAGAGGGTCCGAATGACCTTGCTGCTGAGAGTTTAATTTCCTGCACTTCTGTGACCTTGTCCTCTGACCCCTCTGTAGGATAGTTCTGGTTAAGGTCTCTTTCCTTTGGGGTCAAAGGTGAAGGTAAAGTGGCAGACTTTGGTGTTCCCTCTGAGGTGGGTGGGGTTGTGGGTGAGGATGGGTGTGGCAGTGGGAGTGGTCCCTTTGGTGGTGTGTCGTACAGAGAGTCCTGAGGTGAGGGTGAGAGCGGTGAGGATGGGAACACCTGGGAGCGGGGGCGATCATAGATCCTTCTCCCTCTGTCCTCCTCATGATGGAGCACACCGTTTTCTCTGTGATGTCTCCCTAGGAGGGGCTGGGCTGAGTACTTTATCCCGGTACTTGTCTCATACTGACCGAGACTATGAATCTTAGACTCACTGCCTGCTTGATCACTGGGAAGCAGGCTGGAACCAATGGGAGATAAGGACCAACGGTTCCTTGAGTTGTCGTTGCTGAGGAGTTTCCGAGGTCGCAGTATGGAGGCTGCTGACGGATCAGGCTTTGGAGCATTAGGACTAGGTTTTAGTGATGAAGTGCTTAATGAAAACTTGAATGGATTGCGGGATTTCTTCTGAGTGCTGCTACCTTCCATGGTGAGAGATGATTGGTGTGTTTACAACAGATTGTTCAATGTTGACATTCCTTCCACAATCACAGAATTTAATTAAAACTTGTCCACCATACAAAATCCATTATATCCACATTAAATCATCCTTAGCACCATAAAGGAAAACTTTTTCAGGTATGCTCTTTTACATCTTTCTTGTCAACCTTCTAGAAATAAGAGAAATTCCACACAATCTCCTTAGAAAGACATCAGCTGCATGCACTCACTGAATTTCACGAGCAATTTCTACCTTCAAATTACCATCACAACTGAGCAGTGAAGGATTGTAAATATACATGCATACATAATCACTGTAGTGGCTGAAGCAATGGTCCGGTCACGGTCCGGTGAATTCCTACAATTCGTGCCATGGTCTGTTTGTCGGATCTGAATGGGCCTCTGTCTGCTGTAGTTTGGTACTGTGTCACTGGTGTTAAGACTTCTAATGATGCCCACAGATAAATTGGCCATGGGCCATGCTACACTTACCTGTACGAGAACAGTCCATGTTCTTACTTACATTACATTTATCTTGTAGCACATTCCATTTCTATGAGATTCAGGTATGCTAGTCATGTTGCATCTGTTGACATAATTTTTACTTTTTACATGCAGCTATTTCTGAACCAGTGCTAAGAGACATGTATAGGAGATGACATCACAGTGAATCTTCAGAGTGTCCAAGCTATTCTTCGGGGAAGTGATTAATGTTCAGTATACAAGAATGACTGTTACATGAAGATAGACCTTTAATTAGTATCTGTGTACCTTGATTAATTTTAATGATAGTGGAGTGGAGGTTGGGGGGGGGGGTTAGAAAAATTGAAAATAAAACAGACATTTTTACAGCCTCTCTACATATAATTTTAGTCTAGAAGCACTCATATTTTTGCCTTATAGGAATGAATTTTAAAATGAAATTAAAATGTACCTGTTCCACATCCAACTGTGACTGGTAGACCAGTTCCTTGTACAGATATATTGCCCCTGTGAGACATTTCTATTACCATGACAATAAATGATTGGATCACAGATTACATCAATTTTTAATGACAACAGGTATATGTGGAGTCCTAGGTGTGGTGCCTTCCTCAGGTAATATTTCTGCACCTGAGATTGTAACCAGTGAGAAAAAATTAAATTCTCTTTATACCCATTAGCAAAACGAGAGCAAAATCACCATATGTAAAAACTCTTAACAGTCTTTATCTGATGCTAAAATCTTTTGCTTGTTCCTTATTTTTAAAAATCTTTTTTATTTCATTTGCAGGAAATCTACGTATAATCTCTGAAATCAACTATTCATTACACAAATGGTTTGTTTTAAGGAATAATCCTAACATATAGCTTTTAAATTTAAAATGAAAAAAGACATGTGGGCCAATGAAAAGGCAAAAAATAAATGCAATACAAATGCTAAAATGAAATCATCCTTAGCTAATTCAATATACCAGCTAGCTCACCCCCTTATACACCAACCTCTGGAATTTTAAAAGGCTAAGCATATTAGTAGGTAAACATAAACAATAACATTGTCTAGCACAGGTGTTTACAAAATGGGGCTGACCTACGCCCCCAGCAGATAGGAGTTACTGGTCACTGGTACTGGACATAAAGGGAAGCCTTGACCAATACCAGCTGCTTATAGGTCAGTTATGTGTCATTAAAACATTAAGCTGACCTCTGGAGGAAGACGACGCCATGCCGAGCCTGACAATGGACTGTCCTTACAAGGAGAACGGGTACCAGTTTGTACGATGTGATTAACATAAACTCTGACCTACACTCAAAGTGTCTCCATAAGCCATTGGTGTCTTTTATTTATCTAATCCACACTTGTCTTTTTAAAAAATGTAATGTATTGTGTACCTAAAGGCAGGAACAATTACTGCAGATGTCTTTAGATTCATTCAGTTGTTTATTGCTGATGTAAAGGTGCATACAAAACAAGATCTGCAAACAGATACAGCTGTGGTAATTCTTCAGTTGTAATGTTTGGAGGAGTTATGTCCCTTTAAAACACACTTCCCCCTTTGATTACAATTTTGACCAGAAAAACCTGAATTTTTTACAGAATCCTTGCTTACACAATGTCTTCCCCATTAAACAGAGTGACCTGTGTTAGTTTCTACTGAGACAATCCATTAATCTGGCCTTACATCATACACGGACTGTAAATAAGTGATGCTATCTGGATTGTGATACACACACAGATAGAGCCAGTCCATCAACTCATCCATCTGATTTAGGTCTCAGACTGGGGCTTAGTCAACTAAATCTGCCAGACTTACTCCATAATAGCATTAACATCCAGTCCGTTCAAATGTAAACAAACCAGAGACTACATTCTGGGCCACTGAACAAAGTATGGTGCCTGCATAGGAGACCAAGTAATTCATAAAATCAAGTAATGCAGTGGTGCAAGGAATTGGGGAGAATTAGAAGAGGATTATACTCACAGATCTGAACATGCTCAGCCTCCGTACTCCAACACAAAGCCGGGGCCGTCTATAGACAGCTATAGACCGTGATCTCTGTATTGATTTGTGAGGAGTCTTAGATCAATATCCATCAGGGACTTTCCACTGAACACTCACTGGTATTGATCTCTTACAAAAAATAGACACACCACAGAGAAGTTATCATACAGAATGTTACATCTGTTAGGCTCCTACAGTTATTGTGTGGTCCCATACAGACAAGCACACAGACAAAATGGATCGCTTCAACCCAATCTCCCAGGGGTTATATCTCATCAACCTTTGTCTAGTAGAATAAATTAGATTTTGGAAAAGATACCAATTCATATACAAAGACAGTTTGTTACCATTACTAGAAGTATCAACAAAGTCAGTCTACTACTTAAATGATGGGGACCTTAAGGCCTTACACGTTGGAAGAGAAACAAGTGCAGTGAGCTATTCTGCTCAACATCAAATAAATGAGAATGCAAATTCTGACATAAAAATTAAAATTTGAGATCAGTGTACCATGGGGACAATTATTGATTTTGTCAGATCTGACAGATTACTAGATGTACATTCCTCTGGTGATCTATAGGCTCCTGTGACTTACAGAACAAGACAGTTTATTAACCAGCTCTAACAGTCCCCCAGGGGTGAGGCTATAAGTGAATTATTGGAAATTTATTGGCAGCTCTTGAAGTCTATCTGAATGGTCATAATGCTGATGTTCAGCAGAAAGAATATAAAGGAATATAAAATGTAACAGAGATAAATTACATTCATCCATAGATTATCTACCTAATTCCATTACATGTAATCTGTTTTCCTTTCTGAATTTAGATTTTTTAATTACAATTAAGTAAACCACAGGTCTGGAGTTATTTGTCCCTGGACCGAGTGGAATTCTGCCTGCTCTAGGATTACAGAGATTGAGTTAATGAATTGTTTAATCAAGGTAAAGCCTTGTCAGTAAAGTTTGGGTTAAAATCGCCATCTGTCAATCTGTTTGTTCCTTCCAAGGGGAAGCCACTCCTGTCCTGATCCTACCTGAACCCTGATAAGAACATGTCCATCTCTATAAACCGCGTATCAGATCAGGTGAAAAAATATTCATTAAATAACCAACAGATTCATTACATTTCATTTCTTATTAACCAGGATATAACTTATTTTTTTTAGTATCTAAACCATCAATGTTTTTTTTAATTTTGAAATTTTATCATTTTTGTATGCTCTTTTTTTTCTAAAAATTGGCCAATTTAACTCACAGTGTTTTAACTTTTTTTAAATTTACTTGGCATATAAATAATTGTTGAAGATACAGTTTGATCATATTATAAAGGTCTATTGGATAAAGAAGTAAAACTACTTTTTTTATTTGAAGATATGTCAAAGGGATTGAACACAAGTTCCAAAATCTTAAATAGTCCTATCCCCACCTCTCTTTTTACTTTTCATACCATAAGATATTGCAAATTAATTGAATTGGCTATGATTAAAATCTCATTCTGGATATAAATTAAGTGAAAGAATTTTAAACAATAAATGGAAAGATTATTAGCATTAGCAGTTATTTAATATCATTATGTGTCCTTTATTCATTAGAGAGAAAGAGAGGTGAATGAATGAAATAATGTGTTTCAAGGGAGATAACTTTCATAAAATTCTACTTACAGTTTCTTGATAAGCTCTAATCCTTAACATCTTGTTACATCTCAATTCTCCAGGTTTATTTATGACAATATAGCTTAATTAATCTGCCCACAGCATGGCAAAATAATTAAATGTTAACACCCTTGCCGAAATAGAATTTACCAAAGTCTTTAATCAACAGTTAGATCTAATGCATGACATACCATATTGTATTAAAGGGGTAAGAATAGTATTTAAAAAATAATTATTAAACACATTCCAAATCACTCATTAAGAAATTAGTAGTTCACAGAGAAGCAACAAATAAATATATAGGTATGTGACAAGCATGAAATACCAGGTGCTAGAGGCTTTAAACCAATATCAAACATTGATATCTGTATGTTTTTGACTGATACCGATCTATCACACAAAATCTGTCACCCCTTGATCAATAGACAAGATTTAACAGGCAGTCTGTCTGTCTGTAGTAATCTCAAAATCAATCTATCCCACAAAGTAAGCTACAGTAAATATGTCCAATCCTTAAATGATTACCTTTCTGTGTTTTATTTACAAATACCTCCTGTGGTAAAAGTTTATTTTGGAATTTATAAAATTCTATGTTTTATCTGTTGGGTTTACAGGTAAAAATTCAGTTGTCATGAGCTTCCATGAAAAGGAACTGTTTTAGCTCAGCATTCATCAGTGAGGATGAACAGGGTATACACACTGGCTTTTAATTCCAATATACACTAAAATTAAATGTTGGCTTTTAAGAAGCTTTGTGAAGTTATGCTCAGAAATAAATCATACTGCAGCTGTATATATCTATGCATTATGTTTTAGAACAAGTTAATTTAAATCATAATTATTAACAACATTGTAAATGAAATAGGCAAAGATTAATCTAAAAAAAAAAAAATCGAAAACAATACAAAACTACTGTAGATCACTAAATTTTCGACACCTTAGGAAATCATCGACTCTTAAATAGCGAGACAAAATTTTCGCGAATTGTGGTTATTGGTCTATAAAATCTTAAGGAATACTATTATACGCGAGAATTAAATTTTCGCGAGCACACTGTCTCGCGTAATAACGCGAAAATAAAGTTCTCGCGAATAAAAAGTGATTTACAGTATACACAGGACATAAAATATGGACCCCTGGGAATTCCAGAGGAGGGATCGGGTTGCTAAGAGGAGTAAGCAGCCCCTGTTGACCGGTCACACCTGCTGTGAGGCCTATCTTTATCAGGAAGACACAATAATCCCTAGTCTTATTTTGTACAAAAACAAAGGTTTAATAACTGTTATGAAATATGTCAGCTGAGGTTTGATCCAATGAATGGTTTTATTTTCTAAGCAGGTCTCTTTAACTACAGTAACTATAAAAATTAGGAAATGCTCATACTATTCCTAGAGAAAAAGGTGATGTCATTTTTGTAAATTTTTTATTGAAAATGAAAACCATTTTGTACTTTATTGTCCTAGTTATGATCAATGTAGATTACAATATTACCATATGATTTATTTAATGCTCAATGTTACATGAAGGAAAACCCTATTACTGACATTATCAACCCTACAAGTATTAAAACTGTTAGGAGAGTTTGTAACTTTTTGAAAAAGTGCTTTGATATTAGGAAGGAAAACCTTCAACAAACCTGATATGCTTTCTTTGATTTTATTTTATTTGTTAATTGTTGTATTCATGACTATATGCCAATGTATGATGATGTTGTCAATAATTGAATTGAAATACTAGGTTGTAGATATCCTCGTAACAACAACTTTGTCAGTAGTCTGCCTTGGTTTAACAGAACATGCTCTTCATAAGCTATGATATATAAACACCATATGCAGGTGAAAGATTACTATATACTTAAGGAAAGTTGACAAAGTGATCGACTCCTTCAAATATAAATCCAAACTATTGTCATTACATTTAAAGTTACATAAATTAAAGTTTATCAAATGCTGCAAACATACAGTACAGGACCTTCCTCTATGACAACATGAATGCTTTTTTTCCCAAATGCCAAATCTTGTTGCTTGCTGATATATTATTACTGGCTTATGCTTTTTGGAGATTGTTGTTTGAATGCTAGGAATGAAAGCTATGCTGAGCCTATGCTGAATATACTAGGTCACTGAAGTTCATCATGCAATTTTGAATTTTTAAAAATACACATGTAAACAATATAGTTTTATGTCCTTATGCAGTTTAAATACATTTTAATGATCTAACAAAATACCCTTTAAATTACTTTAATTGTGTGGAAATACGAGATAACTTAATATCAGCATTGCTCATATATAAGGTATGCTTATTGTAACTGTAATCTAGCCATGCTTTTCTTAATGCTGACTGATTACAAGTGATGCTTATGCTAAGTGATTCTAAATGCTGGATCTTCTTAATGTAATAGAAGATGGTCCCTGCACTACCTTATACAAAAGAATACTTTTAAATTATGTTGTTAAAATTCAATCAGTTTTAAAATTAACATCACCAATTTGAAAGTTAGTTAAAAGTCTAGATACACATGTACTAGACCTAGGGATGGAGTTTGAGAAATTCATGGACAAAGAGGGATAACTCCTGAAGGAATGAGAGATTCTTCCTCTTTTATATATATAGACTGAATTCTTTCATTTCCTCAATACATAAATCATTTTTTTTTGATAAAAAAGATTTGAATTTTGTTCAAATTTATACTTTGTTATTGTTAAGATCAACAGGTACTCTAGAATCACCCCTCCTCATAGAAAACCTAATGTTTGACAAAATTCCTTTTTTTCATAAATTTTGAATGATTAAAAAGTTTATCTTTCAGTCTCCAGTATTTTTAAATGAATACTCTTGTAGAAATAAAACACAGGTAGTGAGAATACAAAGCAGAGATCAGTATTTTGTGTATAGCATAATATCAGCTGTGAACTTAAGCTATATGTAAACCTTACCCCAGGTTTATCCTCCTCTAGCTGTGGCAGACCTGGTTTCTTGGCTGGGCTACTCTGTCTTGGCTTTTTGGCGGGCAGTCCCGGCTTATTGCCCTGGGTACTTGAATTGTGTGACATTTCTGTACCATGAGTTTTGTTGCCAAAAGCTAAAATGAATTTAATAATTTCAGAAATATCTCTAAGAAAAAAAAGTGTTACACACAATTAAAATGTACAACTTAATGACCTTGGCTTTTGGCCTTTTGGCCTCAAAATCATTGGGGGTCTTCTTTGTGCCATAAAAAGTTGTTCTGTAAAATTTTATTGCAAAAACTCAAAGGGTTCTTGAGACCCTGTTTGGAAAGTATTACACACAGACAGACAGATGGATGGATAGATGGATGGATGGATGGATGGATATAAGGACAGATGGACAAATTAATATTCCTCGCTTCAGTGAAGGCAAGGGACAATAAATATTGAAACAAGAGTCTTGTGTTCAAAACAAGATTTTAAGATATCACAAAAAAAATTCACACTAAAAGCAAAATTGAGTAACAAGGAAAATTAAATTGATTTGTAAAGAGGAAATTTTAAGTGCTAATTGTATGGACATTTTTTATCCCATTGAAACAGCAATGGAGGGGATATTGTAATGCCCGTGTGTGTGTGTGTGTGTTAGTTTGTCCTTGTGTGAAACAGAAGTGACATAATTTGTAGTTGGATTGATATTGAATGCTGTCTTGATTTATAGACATGCCCTTTGCTAGGGGGTGCTCTGCCTGTGCAGGCCTTATTTCATTTTGAAAAAAGTTCAATGATTCATTAAAGAGTAAATGCATGTAGTAAAGCTATGGGACATAGTGCCAAGGTAATACATGTACAAGTAAAACACATAAAAGGCTGCAATACAAATCATATCATTCTGCAAATCTTGTCAGATGCGCATAATTATATAATCTTGTGAATGACTGCTCAATACATTGTACTTTTAAAATGTTCATAATATTTCTCATTTTTAATGATAAAAACTTACCTTGGTCCTGAAGATGGCTGAACTTCGGGTTGTCTATTAGATTTCGGAACATTGCGGATTCTAAACCTTATTTCGCTTTTAAATGGAGACTAAACTTCCTGCTAAAACAAACATAAACAATATTTCCTCAATTACAAATCAATAGCCAGAAGGAAATTGTCAACACAAAATAAACTTGAGAAGACAATTAACACTTTAAATTTCTCATTTACAATATTTCATATTCAGTTAAGTTTTTTTCTAGATTAGAACATGAACAATGCAGGGCTATGTAACCTGAGATCTGATTTGCTTGTGAGTTACTGACTGTAAGCTGGCTATCTGAAATACACCACTAAACCAGTGGAAAAGTCAGTCACTTGTTTTAAAAAAAATACTCAGTATACAAACAAAATCAAAATTTTATTATTTCTATCGATATAGTATGTCTAATGAACTTTTTTTTAAAAGTTCAATTCATAGAACATTACATGTATTAAATTTTTTTTTTTTAAATGTGCAAGAACTGTATTTAGCTATAAGTAAAAAAAAGTTTTCTCTAAATCTAAGTTTTTAATATAAAATTGCCACCCATGTGCATCCTTTTTACCAGATGCTTCTAAGGCAAATACATGGTTAATTAAATCTGAAAAAAGGGTATTATACTGGAGTAAAAGTTTAAGCATTTTTGTGGATCAAATTGCCTCCTACAGGGCAACAGTTAGGTCAATTAACAAAAACACACACAATTATAATTTCCTCTTTAAAAAATGTGGATAAACATAGCATTACCTACTTGAGAGCATTAAATAAATAATGCATAAATAATCCATAATAAAATATTGGTCATCCTTTGTTGAGAGTACTATTTGCATCAGCATCTGAGATCATAGAGAAAGAGGGAAAAAATACATTAATTATCTGCCTTTAATTGTTACTGATCCCTTGTAAAAGGTCTATTTTTGTTAGGTGATGTTTGTCTGACACAATCTGTTTTACATCTGTAATAGATTCCTTTTATCATCATCTGTATACAATGAATTAAATCAAGCACTTAATTGTTAAAGTACAGGATACAAAATTGCATATTGCACAATTTATGAAAACAGCTGATGAAATCCTCATTCTCCAGTGTATTTAAAATTCTGTATTTATAATATTCAAAAGAGCTAATGTGTTGTGAACTTTTTTTTTAAATTTAACACCAGAAATTTGTCCATACTACATGAATGTCCCATTAAAGGTTCATTAGTATAATGCAACATAAATATCTGCACAAGTCTAATAAAGTTTGATGAAAATATCTTGAATAGTTTCTTTTAAATTGAGTTTTATACACAATATTAAATAAGTAAAGCAAAAGGTCATTGTGAAGGTCAAAATAAAAATAAATTTAAAACTGTTGGTTAATCCTCAGAAAATAAAGTATCAGCGCATAAGATTACATGAATTTACTTTGCATAGCTTCTTTGAGACTGAACAAAACATTAAGATGTAAGGTCAAGGTTTGGGGAAATGTCAAGGTCAAAAATGCAGATGCCAATAATTAAAAAAAAACTTTCATCAATATGTATAAGGATATAAAGATTGGTTAAAATAACTTGAAAAGTTTCTTTGATATTAATTTAAACACAAATTTTGAAGCCAAGAAATAAGGAAAGGTCAAGGTCATAAATGTTGATGCTGATAAATAGACTTTACCCATATGACAAATATCAGCACAATAAACTTGATTAAAATACTTTGAACAGTTTCTTTGAAATTGCACTTAAGCCACTCTGTTTTAGAAAAAGCAAGGTCAAGGTCACATGAAAGTGTGGATAACTAAAACTTTTCTAATCTGAATATGTACATACGGTTAAATAAAAATCTCTCAAGCTTCTTCCAAATTGAGAAAAACAGACATCAAAGGTCAAGGTCAATGAGAAAGTTTAGGTAAAAAATTAAAGATGATATTGAATGCCTCTCATCTGTAAGTTTTCGTATATTAGGTTTGATGAAAATTAATCTTGAATGCTTCCTTTGGAAATGAGCTAATCACTTATTAAAGAAAAGTGATGTTACGGTCAAAGGAAAGTTCAAGGACAAAAAATGTTGATACATTTGAATAGCTCTCATCAAAAATGTATCAGCTAGCATATGAAGTTTGATAATAGTATCTTGAACAGTTTCACTTGAAAGTGAGCAAAGTGCAAAGGGTGATGGAAGGACAGACAGAAGGACAGAGGGATGGAAGACGGATATAAAAAACACTGTACGTTCCAGTCATCATCATGTAAGTCATAAGAAGTAATTTTATTATAGACAGAAATAGCATTATATAACAAATTGATGCAGATCCAAGATTTTGTGTTTTAGGATGTGCTATTAGATGGCAGTTAGGGGTCAAGGTAATGCAGATTAGCAGATCAAGGACAGTGACTGAAAGGGGGGAGGGGGATATGGGTGCAAAGCTCCAAAGCTCATGATAATAAACAATAAGTCCTAGTAAACATTATTTTGAATTTTATTTTACCTATTTCACATTAATGTACAACCATGACAACTATATCTGAAATATTTTTTGGTTTGAAGGTATGTGTGTGTAAATGTGTGTGAATGAAGGGGGTGGGGTGGTGGTGGTGTTGAGGGAGGTGGGGTGGGGGGTGTACAAGTGTCCAACCTGAATCTGCACCTGAAACTGATACCAGTTACTTTGATTTTTTTTTTTTTGCATTTTCTTCAGACCTTAACAACTTAAATCTGATTACAAAAGACAAAAAAAAAAATCAGGAAAGAGTACTTTGAGTAGCTATCTTATCATGCTTATAAAGAGCTCTCAAAATGAGACTTGATCATCAAGTAAAAAAGAAAGTGTTTTGCAAAAAGTGGTATCATGACCTAATTATAATTAACAGGACATTTATAAACAATGATCAAGAGGTATCCTGGTCAGAATCACACATACACAAATAAAGCTGGAGGAGGATACCATTTGACCTTTGCATGTTGATGAAAATTAAGAGAAAAAAGAAGACATTTATTCTGAAAACAAGGTCAAAGAACCACAAAGGTCATGTGACGTTTGGATGATGATGAAATTAAGATAAGAAGACATTCATTTTGAAAACACAAGGTTAAAGGTCAAAGAAGGGTTATTTGACCTTTGGATGCTGATGAAAATTACAGGGAAAAGTGAAAACAAAAGGTTAAAGGTCAATGTGGAAATCACTGATTAGGTCATGTCATTGCTGTACACTAATATGTAGTCATTAATTACAAATATTAATTTTAAACTTTTTCTACACAGACAATTAGATATAGTCATGCTTGTAGATAACAATATGTGGTATAATCAGGACCATTTAACTTTTAACTTCAGACAATATCAACTGGCCCAGTACTTGTAATATAGCTAAAAATTCCACAATGTTTGATTGTAACTAAAATATGCCGCATTTTCAAATTATAAATAACACCAAATCAATGTATCAATCTGTGCACTGAACTGAGTTTTTCACACACGTTACTTCCTGGAAACCAGGAAAGCCTTTTTCATACATGCAGCACATGTTGGAGGCAGACAATATCATGTAAACAAATGTAGTGAACTGGGTGTTCCAGAGCAAGGCCTTCCTCCATATTAAGTATCACTAATAGTCGGTACCTGACATTGAAAATTGAATTGTGTCGGTACAATAATTATACCACAGGAAGCATTTTCTACAAAGTACCTTTGATGTTTACTCATACATAACGATTTTCATTAAATTTCTATATCTGAAAGGGAAGTTTTTTTCCCATTCAGTGCATGGAAATTCATAGCTTACAATTTCCTGTAAGAGATATTTTTCTGAGCCCGTTTCTACCTCTGGCTTTGACCTTGCCGGAATCTATCAGTGGTGTATCTACTGCTGACAATTACCCTGCTACTGAACATAGCTAAAAACATCCCTGGTACACGATCTCATGTCAAAGATACTATATCAGACAGGACTTCTTATCCAGCTCAATATGTAACAGTCACAGCTGGAATTTAGATCTCTCTCTCTCTCTCTCTCAGTTTGGAAGAAAAAACCAAAATATGAACAAAATGTAAACACATGTAAATTTATACTGTAAGTTATATATTACATTTGGCTGTGTATTGTATTTAGCACCTTTCACGGAAAACGTCATGAAGTACATCCCTAAATGTTTTGCTTTCATATATTCATGTAAGGCATATTCAGAAAGCGCTAGCTAATTCATATCTAGGCAAAATTGTTTAAAAATCAATTTCCGCCAAATATCATACTCACCAAATAAAATACATTTACAGTACTATATTTGCAGTTAGCTTTGGAGTTAAGCTTGAAATGTATGTGTTTTAATATCATATATACACGAGTGACTATAGCGTGAATTCGTAAATGTTAACAGTTTAAAAAAAGCTTCAAGTCCAGGCAAATGTTAGGGCTAATAAATTATCCACAAATGTTTGACTTTTCACATAAACACAATTTTCCTTGCAATATTTCTGTCTGAAGTTGTCCATAACAACTTCTCCAATATATTCAGTCAAACCTCATCATCAAGGGAAAACTTCAAGATACTCAATAATTTGAGATATAAAGTGTAAAAAAAATACTTAAAGGAATAAGTACTTAGCTGTAATTTTTTCATATATCCATTGTATTCCAGATATCAGAGTTTGTGCCATGAGATACTGAAGTTTGCATGTATCTATGTTATTTGTAACACATATGTAAAATAAAATTGTACAAATGAAGAAAACTTAAAATGACTGTATAAAATAAGACCCCATGTTATTCTGATGACCTCTTGGATATCAGGATTTTTTTCTTTCATTTCACAAAGAGAAAGCTTGTTATTTATTGAAGCGTATTCTACCAGTACTTCTGCTGCAGCTGTTTAAATTATAGAAGAGTTGTATTCTGATAGATCTGTCAATGAAAATGTCTATGAGTTTTCAGATCATTTGAGAGAGTTAAAAAAAAAACACAAAAAAGATGTGTTTATGAAACACTGGTGTCCTTTATGGCTGGTAAGGATTCAAGTTTCCCAAATACAAGTTTAACTCCAAGCTACCGTTAAAGACAAGAGATAAAAAAAATATTGGTACAAAAAAATTCTTTTTACAAGGAATACACCTGTAAAATATTTATAAGTCCTAGCACTGACCATTCAAAGGTTATGGCCAAGGTTAAAGTTTTTCAAAATATCAAGGACATATTGTCAACACTGTTAAAAAAATTGGTATCCCTGGGACATGCAGTCTTATAGATCTGTGCAGTGTTAAAGGCCCTAGCACCCAGTGTTCAAAAGCAATGGGTCAAAATTGTTGGTGCTCAAGGGAAGGTCTTGTCAAAAAAGAATATTTCTGTAAAATATGGAGTGTAAAGCACTGACAATTCAAAACTTAAGGGCAAGATTAAACTTTTTTAAAAGCAAGTAAAACTCTAAGGGCAATGTCAAAAGGTAAAAAATACTTGTGTCTTGCAAACAAGAGAAGGCCTTGTTTTATAGAATACCTCGGTATACAAGTAAAGTATCAAACACTTAGCTCCAACCATTCAAAAGACATGACCAAAGTTTGGTAAGATTTTTAAAAAGTGGTCAAGATCAAATGTATAGGGTTCCAAAGGAAAGATCTTGTCAAAAGGAAATTCAAAGTTTCAACCAATCAAAAGGTATGGGCAAGGTTAAAGTTTTGATGGACATGCAGACAGATGGCCAGACACCAAAAATTATATGCTCAGGAGTCTGCAATGGTTTGGACATGCTTATTTCAATCTGTCAATATATTTTAGCATCAACATGCATTAAGCACTCACAATTTTGTATTTACCAATTTCCAGAAATTATTAGCTCTCCAAGCAAAATATAGATAATTTGAAGACAGACAGATTTATCTATTATTTTGAGGCAGTTTTTAAAAGTCTAGAGTAATATACCCCCAAAAAGTAAATAATGCATTTTCCAACTGCAGTTAAATTAATTCCATTTTCAAAAATTATAATTAATCATGACCCTGACACCTGAAACAGATGTATCACACAGCAGACAAAATAACACAGTAGAGTCAGACAATGAAGAATGTATATCTACCTGAGGGTATGGGAGGGATCCAGCTGCCCTGATTAATTTGGCAGGAAGACAGAGGGATACTTAATGGTCAGGCCGTACCTGACCAGACCTCATTAACCGTACACCTGAACAATTGTCACTTAATAATACAGATATGCACACACATGCATGTGCATGAGTCAGCAGCATTAACTCCAGGCACCGAAGCACCGGTACCCTGTCATCTGTGGGGATCGATTAATCTCAGGTGGCCCCCGCAGCTAATTATTAAAATATCTTCTCATTACAGACCTCAGATTGCATCAAACAAAATAGGGATGCTAATAATTGTGTTGAAAACTGCAGGGTTCAATAGAGAGGATGATTTTATCCATTTTTAACTACATTTTTTTTTATAGCTATTTCTATATTTCCTTTCCATCTGCTGCTCACTAGCACAAATGAAGTAAAATTTTCTCAGAAGTCTGAATAAAATTCTAAAATAAATAAAGTTTTACTTCAAAAGCTCATGAATTGTTAGAGATACCGAGCTGCATCCTTAAGTCTTCTCCAATACATGCATGAAATTCACAGTGCATAAAAGAAATTGATCAAATTAAAGAACTTTGAAATTTAAAAAAATTTATGTTAATTTTTAAAATATATATTTAAAAAAAACAAAAAGAAAAATCCATTTAAAATTGACTCACCTGAATTTCTTTCAATAATCACTCAACAATACATAGGATTCTGGGATAAAGAACATCCGCTCTCCGACACATTAATGCAAAAAAACTTGAAACGCCTTGCAGACTTTCTTTCATTCAGCACTACTGGTTACTGTTTTAACCCTGCAATTGTTAACAGTAATTATACAGAAGCTGACAAAAGCCAAGAGGTTATCAAAACTCTATCTACATATCTACAGAACCCCTCCAAAAATAAGCTCCTTGGGTGGATCATCAGCAGGCACACTCAGTACATTAACCAAACATACATGCAACCAGCATTTATTTTAGCAACTATTCAAAGCTATCCTTTTAGATAAGAAAAACAGCAATTAATAAACAAACAAAAAAAAATCAATCAGTGTAAAAGAATGCTTTGTGCCTAGCAATCAATTTTGTTTCAATTACCATTATTTCTTGTGAGGAGTCTTATTACCTGTATAAGGTAATTACACAGGTAACATGCTCACCTGTAATTTCAGCATCACCTCCTTTAATCCATCATCTCACTTGACAGCTTTATCCTGATACAACTACCCCAACCCTCCTGACAGACAATGCCGAACTGTAAGGAGCCTGCATAAATGACACTGAAAAACTATCAATTTCTGGACAAAAACAGTACAAAAGACCAATTATTCTTTATAAATTATATCAAATGAGGCAGAAATTTTAGTAAATTTCAGTAAACAACTGCCATCTCACTTATTTATAGATGGTCCCATCATATAACCCTAGATTCCTCTTCATTCGCTAGGGCCCAGCATCAAGACAAAAATTGTCAAAGTTCCAGCACAGAACTTTTACTGTGTAAGGATTTATTCCATGTCCCTTTGTATATTCAAAACTTACAACTCCAAGCAATCTTTATTTATTATTAAATTATTAATAATACATCTGAAAAACTGTTATAATTCAGAAGAAAATGTCTAAGCATTGACCCTTGCACACATATTGTAGATTCATCATTTTTTATGGGTAACCAACGTTCTTGGATTTCAGGAGTAACCCTTTCCTATTCATATACCCAAGAATGAATGTTTATTTTGTAAACATATTGATTCTACCTATGAGTAACCCAACAAAATATGTCCCAACAAACAGGTAACATTTTGATTCCCCATGAATATTGAACCACCACAAATCAAAATGAGTATGCTGTAAAATTTTTCTTCCACTTCTATTTTCCCATTCAATGATAACACTATTTCATGTGCGAAAAATACTGTTCACACTTTATCTAACATACAGAAAGAGACGGGTGTATAAAGAAGTTTATGGAAGTATAGTACCACAAAAACTAGAATTCTCTCAATGTCAAAAAAAAAACTTATTCACAATGGCCCAAGATAAGATAAAAACAATTTCATACACAGCACCAATGGCCTGAGTGATGGCATTCAGTTTTTCCAATATGTACAAAACTTGGATTGTAGCAATTCACATCATGACACCAGTCCTCAATGCATTGGTGTGTCTAACTTATTTTTTACATGGAAAACCAGTCTGTATTTACCTTAGCATCCAAGCCATTAGAAATGAGAAGCAAGGGGGACAATACTGTAAGTCAAAGAAATAATTATATACTATTAAGGATATCCGATCCTCAGCCAGGAAGGATAACTCCAAAATTTAATATTTTATTTGAAATGCACCAAAATGAAGCTTGAAAATGAAATTTTTTCATGCAACAATTTTCATTTTATTTATCTTTATAAGATCCAAGGTTTTTGGAAGTCTTGGGAAAGGTCTTTTAAAAGTTGACTTTTATACCCTACAAAAGGGAAAAAATTAAAACTGTTTTAGAGAAATAAGATTTTCTTGTATCCAGCCTTAGAAACTAATGCTTATCAGCATGATATGATATAAATAGTGATTTGTGGTGTCTTGCAATGATAGCAAAAGCCTTTTACACTGTGTATTATAGAATAAATGACGGAAATAGAAGACAAAAAATACCAAAATAAGTATAAAAATCAAGGAAATTTCTCTGAATGCCTGGATACCTATCATTTTTTAGCCTAAAATATATTTGTTGGTCAATTTGTAATTAGAAAATGCATTGCTGATAATCCAATTCACTTTCTCTGCAAAAATATTGGAGATTTGACATTTTTCCCTATATAATATGATTAACTTTAATTTCTAACTTTAAAAAAATCTTGTGGATAAATTTACCTAACATTGTGGATTCAGAGATACTTTTATGAGTACTTTTGATTACTTAACTGCTAATCTTAAAAACCTGAGGATCGGACTACCTTAAGCTTGATGAAAAACCAAAATTTTTAAATTCCCTCTCTAAACAGCATATTTCAATTTCTTCCAAGATAAAAGAAATTGTTATAAACCAATGTAATTTTATGTCATAATAGAGTCCTAGAGTATTTTCACATAAACTATACTCTGCTCCTTAACTAAATCTTGCCTTCATTTTAGGAAGGTCAAGTCAAAACATGAGAAACTCAACAGAGCAAAGTTTGAGCTTCTTCTATTTCTACATTACAATAATAATGTTATGTCCTTATGTTGGAAAGCTGTGACCTTCACCTTAACCAAATGACCTTGACTCATGGGTACAACACACCCCTTAGGTTACATCAACCTTTGGTGCCAAGGTTTCTCTAGTTAATATTCATGTTTTCAGTTCAAAACCCTTTTAGTTTTGGCCATGAGACAAAACCAAGCAGACACTGGCACTGTTTTAAGGTATTTTTTTCATATCCTATAACCTTTTCTTTTATTATTGCTGAGAAACTGTTGATACATGCATTTTTAAACAATTTTTCAGAATTACTGGTCTACTAAAATATAACAACAAATGCCCACATTTATATACATTAAATTTATTCATGTACAAATTAAATAAAAATATTACAAAATTATTGCAAAGTTGGATAAAATTCAGCAGAATAAGCTTTAAAGCAGAATAATAAAGATGTCTTCATATCAGTATCTCATGGAAAATCTACCTTGATTCAATTCATACACGACACTAAAAAGTCAATATAAGGAGGATGTTTATAAAATGTATACTAATTCTATAAACTCAGTGTATGTTTGTTTTTTCCTCCTTACTGAATCAAAAGATGGCAAACAAAGTTTTCCTTTATGTTGTGTGGCCATTATGCTCTTTAATTCAATTTCAGATCTATTTTTTGTTCATAAAGTTTACAGTAAATTTTTCAAATCTACAGAAATAAACAAGTAATATCATATATGTAGACTACACAAATGATATAACAATAAAAAAAAAAAAAATTACTCCTAACATATAGTGTATTCAATACATCTTAGATCTTACATGGGGGATGGGGGAGGGAATTTTACATGGGAGATCAGCTATTAAAAATGTCCTCATGAAAGTTATATGTCACCAAGAATGAAAATCAAAGGACACATTTAAAAAAAAGAACTACAACAAAATAATCCAGCTAAGTTAGACATTCAAATTATCAATTTACAGGAAAGATGAACTTATCAACCATTATCAACAAAGGTAGATAACTCTAACAAGTCACTGCTGATTGTGGTTAGATGACTAGACCAGGCTAGAGAAAAGTTAGCTCCCTTTCTGCAGAGCTTTCTGGTTTTGATTTCAATATTTTGGTACAGCAAATTTATACAATTTATTATTAAAAAAACATATACTCACGTACACAAAACAATGACTTTGGATGTTTGTAAATGCTCAAATCTAGAATACTTAGCCTATGTAAGCACTCAATCTAAAGTCTTTTACTTTCAAAAATAAGGTTTCTTTTTATTCTATTTCACACAGAATACAAAAATCATCCCATACAATATTTTTTAACAATATTTGAAAAGAAAAAAAAAAAAGATTTTACATTATAAAACCATGTGTCCACTTACTTTTAAACACACAGGGCAGAGCATTTGCAAATTATTAACAAAATGTAAGTAGCATGGATGTTAGACATCACAAACTGAACACTTAATTTGATGATTTGGTGTAATGATGTGATAACATTGCGTTTGTTACTGTGGATTGTCTGAGGTCGCTAAGTATAAATACGACAATCTCATCTTCAAATACTGGTCCTATCAAATGGTCACCTGAAGGAAAAAAATCAAAATTAGTGAAAGTTCAACTAATATAATTCAATTAATTAACATTTAATACTGTATAAAGAATTTTGAGCAAAAAATAAAACTCAAGAGATTTACCATTTAAAAGTTTACACAGTTAATCATTTAGATTTATGTCATAACCTTACACATTTCTGCAACCTAGATTCTGTGTTCTAGACTTACCTGCCAAACTTTACACATTCTGTGTTCTAGATTTACCTGCCACACTTAACACATTCCGACCGTGTGCTAGATTTACACATTCTGAGTTCTAGATTTACACATTCTGTGTTCTAGGTTTACCTGCCAAACTTTACACACTCCATGTTCTAGATTTATCTGCCACACTTTACACATTCTGTGTGCTAGATTTATATCTTCTGTGTTCTAGATTTATCTGCAACACTTTACACACTCTGCATTCTAGATTTACCTGCCACACTTAACACACTCTGTGTTCTAGATTTACACATTCTGAGTTCTAGAGTTTCCTGCCAAACTTTACACATTCTGTGTGCTAGATTTACACATTCATGTTCTAGATTTACACATTACTTTTGCTAGATTTATGCATTTGTGTTCTAGATGTACACATTCTGTGTGCTAGATTTACACATTCGTGTTCTAGATTTAGACATTCTGAGTTCTACATTTACACATTTTGTGTTCTAGATTTACCTTCCAAACTTTACACATTTTGTGTGCTAGATTTACACATTTGTGTCCTAGATTTACACATTCTTAGTTCTAGATTTACCTGCCAAACTTTACACATTCTGTGATTTGACTTCTCCGTTCTGCTGCATTTTCTGTGGTGTGTTGCGCTGGTTCATCTCTGCCTGCATCTTGGCAATCATTTCCTGCATTCTCCTCAGCTAAAAAGTATCAACATTTCTCATTAATACAATCTAATGAATTTTTTCCTTCTATTAGTTTTTTTTTTTATTTACACTTTTAACTTCAGGTCTCTATTTTAGGCAGAATTATGTCAGGGGTGTGCAATTACAAAAATAAATTACTAGCCCGTCGGACAATGGCGGTAACAAAGTTACTAGCCCGAGGTTGCCAGTCACTAGCCCATTAACTACCGAAATCAATACATGCATAACATAAAGGTTTAAAAAAAAAACATTTAAGTTGAAATAAATAAAACAGATAATGGTTTGCGCTTTGTAATTTTCAGGTACTTCCCCCTATTTATATCGACTATAATTGTCATTGAGACGACTGGCGATAGGAACACAAAATGCATATAAATTAAAACGAATGAAAGATTATGATTTTACAGAAAAGTTAATTCGTACCTCAATTCAGTCGAGGTAAATATATGTTTACTTTCATTTTAGATTTACTAGCCTGACGGGCTAACGCAGTACAGATTTAAGATAGCCTGACCTCTAAAATTGGTAGCCCCGGGCGTTGAGCGATGGTAATTGCACACCCCTGATTATGTCCTTAATTACAAGTTAATGCCAATACATAAAAGTCATTCCCTACTACACAAATCCCTAGGTTTTTCCCTTCCTTAGTAATTAAGTCAAGATAAAAACCAGTTTACTCCCCAGTGTAATGGATCTGTCTACACTGTGACAAAGTGGATTGTATTGTGACTACTGTCTACATAAATACACTCCCTCACCCACAATAAATGGCCAATCTTAATTCAGAACTTATTAATTACAGTTTTAAGATTTATATTTTCCATTATTTTGAGATGTGTGTAAAATCAAGTCCATCAGCCCTGTAGTACATTATTTATCTTGAGTGTTTATAAGAACTATCCCTCCCCTAACAATCCCGAGTTCTGATTACTGTAGATCACAAAATTTTTGCGACACCTTATTTTCGCAAGATAGTCATTGACTATTGATTAGCGAGACAAAATTTTCACGAATTGTGGTTAAAGCTCTATATAATCTTAAGAAATGCTTTTATACGAGAGAATTAACTTTTAGCGAGCACAGTGTCTCGCGTAATTACGCAAAAATAAAGTTTTCGTGAATAAAACGTGATTTACAGTATATCATACCTCTTGTTCCTTTTCTAGGAGTTGTTTCTCGCGATCTGACAAATCAGCTTGCTGGCCCTCAGGTCTACGTTTGCTGAAACAAAATAAGAAAAATTTCAATTTACACCTTAACTTTTGCAATTTATATATAATACATGTATAATTTTGAATATATATATTTAATTAACATGCAACAGTAAGGTAACCCTTTTACATAGATATATAAAGAGCACTCAAAATTACTTTTTTTAAAATTGAAAGTTAGAAAAATAAAAAGAAGTGCCAGACTTATAAAAATAAGAAACACATACTTTATATACAGACATGAATGTAAAGTTGGGCTAAGTTTCAGCGATAGAGATCAATGGTGTACATTGGATATAAAGAGTATTATGTCCTTTACATATTTACAGTGATACATGGTTAATACTTTGTGTGAAAAGTTTTATGTACAAAAACTCTTGTAAAGGAAATATAAGCAAACAAAAATTGCAATAAAAGAATAATGAATATGAACATAAAATAACCACTTCTTTATATAATTTTGAGGTGTGAATTTAGGGCATTTTCTACTAAGTTTACTATATTGATGTTTCACCTTGTCTTAGGTAAATATAAGAAACATACAACTGACTGATCAGAGAGAAAAAAGTTTATGAATGTGCTGTACTGATGTGTTTAGCTTAAGATATACACATGTAAAGACAGACAGACGAAAGACAGACAGACAAAAAAGCATGTAGTCAGACAAAGTTTTAATAACAGGATGATATGCTGGTTATTAGCAACTTTTACATATCAAAGTTTGAATGTTAATATATATATTGTATTTATTTTTTTACCATGATTATTACATGTACAATATTTCTATAATTTAATTCCTGTTTTATATCATAATGTGCAGTCCAATTTATTCACACCAATATATCCATCAATATTGGCACAATTTCCACATAATTATTACTGACAACTATTGAATAATGTTGATAACAGTTTGTTATTCTCCCAAATCTAATCTATATGATTTTCAACTTCACTCATACATGTACTTTCATATATATCTGCCAATTTAATAAGGCAGTCAATGTTAAATATTTTCATTAAGGTCACAAGTAATTTTTCACCTTCTAGAAATAGCTAGAGAATGTCATAGATAATCAAATGATAGTTTTTAATGCAGAAAAACCAAAACATGACAAATACTATGAAAAATCTCAAAATGAAAATGGAAAATGAAAGTTAGGGAAACCTCCAACAAGATGAGATGAGGACAGGAAGTGTTAGACAGGAAGTATGCTTACCCGGACCCCAGAGTCAGGTGACCACAGAACAGGGAGGGGGAGAAAAGAAGAAAAAAAATTATATTAGTTCCATGCAATTTCAGTATTATTTCAATTTTAAAGAAAAAGAATTACATTCTCCAACTCCTTTGCAGACTTCAGAAGTTTGTTATTTAAGAAGTATTTCATCAAATGATGGACAATTCATATGCACAGTTTTCCTATTGAGTGTAGAACAGAGGGATGTAAGGGACAGACTCCTTGTAAACAAAGAAACACTAATGGATTCTACTTCAGGTTTACATCCTAAATCTAAACAAAATGGATCTGGACCATAAACTCACAATTACAGGCAAAACAAACATGTAATATCAACTCTAATAACACTTATAACTATTAGGTTTGAACAATCACTGTCTTATTATAATCTTGCTGCATTCAGAATGACAATTTATTTCAGTTTTTATAAAACTTCACAAACATTCATACACAAAATACTGAATCATTCAAACTACCAGGTATCTATTCTACTGGCATGGCATGTTGTTGGGAACCATTGCATTGACTTTGTATAACTGCTGTAAACATGTTAGATAAACTAAAATCATGTGCCTACATGCTAACATTGGTGAGGGGAGTATATAAATCTTTACAATTGGAATGAAAATAAGACATACTCTGTCATTTCATTGTAAGTTTCTTCATTGCGAGGTCTTCTGTAAATTTGATTGACATTTGTAACATCAAATAGATTTCTTACAAAGAACCCAAAATAAGAACATTTATAATATATAAAGCTACACTGATATATAAGCCAAACATTATGTACTTTTAAAGAATGCAAAAACTAAATGGTTAATAAAACTGAAGCTTATCCTGATAAATGCCAAATTTGTTTCCTTTGCCTGATCAAAAAACGATGCATTAAAAAGCACAGAAACTGAATTCTTCACAAAACAAAGCTCTTGTTATCTTCACACATTGAAACTGCTTTCAATATAAAAACTAATTTTTTAGGGATCCCACTGAGACCTCGAGAAAGATTACGTCAGTCTCGTACCTTGTTTTCTTGGGGACAGATCCACCACCTGCCAGTTTCTCCGCTCGGAAGTTTTCATAATGAACCTCCTGGGTGACCTCTTGTAAGTCTTGCATGTGAGTGCTGTAAATATATCATATAAATCAAACTAATGATTACGCCATAATCATTAAATTGTAAGAACAGTAGCATTCAAATGAAGATGATTCCAATTAATATTGTGACTATTAGCTATTGCAGTGAGAGAAATTCCTGTCAATCTAAAAACCAGACTTTTCAGCAGCTGACACTTTTCATATGTTAATTCTCTCTGATTATTTTCAAAAGCTTTTAAAACTTGAAGGTTGCAAATTTTCACTGAGACTCATGCACTGGATAAGTTTTGTATTTGTCATACTCTTGGACTCACAAGTGATGCTTCAATTATAACTTTTTACTTACATGAGCATGGTTCTAAGTTTGATGAAATCACAATGATCTGGATTTTCAACCTCCACCACTCCCCATGGATACATACGACCTCTGACCTTTTTACCTTTGACCTCTATCACAGTATTAGCACCAATGACAGCAAAAGGCACAGCCTCCTGTAGCAAAATAAGTAGTGCCATTTTACAATGAATAGAAAAATAGAAAACTAGTCAGACTTAATAAGTAAGAGGCACTCCTCAGTAACAACCAATGATCTTGAGAAGACTAACCTTAAGAAGTCGACACTGTTCTCGATATTCTTCATCCTCGTCCTCATCGCAGTCTGGGAGTGCGTAAAGGTTAATACCATTCTCAGCGATCTGAGTCATCACCTGTACAAATCAGAGAAGACCATTAGTACTCTAAAATATTTACCGACTTCATTCATCATCCATATAAATTTGAGATGGTCATAAGTACTCTAAATAATAACTGACTTTATTAGTTGGTACAATGTCTCCCATCATTAAAATATTACAGGAAAGTTTTGAAGAACTCAGATTTTACCCAATTACCATAAAGATAACACTTTATAGTGATATAACAGTAGTAATTAATGGAAACCAGATCACTTGTTTACCACTGATTTGACAAAAAGACAAGAGAAACCAGTAATCAAACAGAATTGGAGAGAGTTTACAGAAGGGTATACATTGTCACTGACAGACAACTGTCAGTTTTATTTATACATAAATACCGGGAGGCTGGAACAGAGGTAACTGGATCAACTTTCTAAGTCAATATAATCCACCTGCATGGGCAGGTATCCAACTTAAATACCTCCTAATGAAAACTTGCTAGATTTTAAATAAAACAGCAACAATCTGCAGTGTACAATGTTTAATGAAAAAGTCAGTTGTTAATGTAATAATAAAAGATGTTAGAAATCCTTTTAACTTTTATTAAAAGCACTATTCAAAAGCTTTTTCTTTTTAAACTGATTATTAGAGACATTTTTAAACCATGACCATTATTTTTTAGCTTTGCAATTACAAATCTGCATATAAATATTTCTCAGAGACCCACCCCTTGAGAATTTTCTGATACCAAACTACAGTCAAGCCTGCATCAGTCATCCATATTAATATGAATACAGGTTTGACTGTTTTTGGAGTAGATTGTGTAGTCTTGGGACTACCAATTCTTCACAAATGATTCAGGTTTATCTGAAAAACAAGGGCTTAACAAGAGTGTATACATAAAACAGCAATGAATTCCCCTTCCAACATGTATACCGTATTTGGCCGAGTATAATACGCATTGATGTAAAATACGCACCCCCCTTTTTGAGTCTGAAACTGGGGAAAAAAACGCAGTTCGGATGTATTATACGCAACAGAAAAATTTACCAAGCGATGTTCTGAACTATGAAAATCACGGTAATTTGTTAAGAAAATCGGCGCGAGGATTAAATGTCAAAAATTTACTGAACACACTTTTTTTAAAATACACACTTTATGACTTTCTCTTAATCCTGACATTCTGTATCGCGGCAATCTGGAGAAAATTATTTATTCATTTATTTCAACAAAGCACAAGATAATGTTGCGTAAAAGTATTAACAGATTTTTTTAAAGAATAGTTACGGTGATTTTGAAATTATGCGTAGCCATATTCTTAGATGAAATAATTTTATTTCAACAAAGCAAGAGATATTTTCGAAAGTTTTATCAGTTGTCATATTTAATTTTGGTTCTAGATAATCATGCTTAAAACTATCTTACAATATTTTAACCGGAAACGAAATTGAAACATCAAAGTATTTATTTCTTTAAGAAGACTACGATTTTCCTCTTCTGAATCTTCGCGGATATCTTATTTTCTAAAAGATACCACTTTTATTAAAAGTTTTAGCATAATTTATATTTCATTTCTCAACTCTCAATTATTTAAACAAGAGGCCGATAAGTATAAGATAAGGTAAAATTACATTTAACAAGTGTTTAATTGTTTAAAGTGCCGTAATCAACACATGCTCACCATGCTCACACATACGAAAGGTCATAAACCGACCCCTAATTTTTAACAAAGAAAATAATCACAGCAATTAACATGGCAGTAAATAATCAGTGCTCTAACTGTAAAAACATTGCTTTGGAGTCGGTAGACAATTAATTGCCCCAAGGGGTGTTGATAGGTAATTATCATTTGACCAGCGCACGTGTGTCACAACACTGGCTTCCTTTCATCGGGACGTATGGAGGGGTGTTAATATTGTTGCAGTTTATCACTGAGTTATTTTAAACCTAAAATTAATATTTATTTTATTGTATTTCATTAAAAAATGATTTATTACTTTGTCTGGCAGATAAGGTGCATGTGCACTAATCATTCCGGAAGCACGTGACATAGCTATGAGTGAACGTCTAAAAATAACATCGGTAATGGCGGCCTCCTCGGAGACAATCAACATGCAGCTCAAATTACTTTTAACTTACTTTTTCATGTTATTTGGGCATAAAAAGATTATGAAAGTGACATTTTTAAGAAGCATACCTTCCAACAATAACTTTCCAAAGTTTAAAATATGGCAATTAACAAAAGAAATTACATATATGTCTCTAGGTAATACTACGGTATGTACGTATGATAGCCGTGTTTCACCTGAAAGAAAAACTTGTCAAAATCCCATTGTGATGTAAAATACGCATCCCTTTCTCACAGAAATTTATTTTAGGAAAAAAGTGCGTATTGTATTCCCCCAATTACGGTACATACAAATTATTCCCCATCCATGCTGCTAATATCTCTGCCTAGTCTGATGCAGGAAGTTTTATATTTCTAAGGCAGTGTGATTAATCCATTGAACAGACAAATGTGTGCTGTGAATAGGCTTTCCCATGGCATTAGTCTAAGCACACAGTCTTTGTGCTTTGTTTCAATTAATTACTGAAGCTTTAAATACCTGTTTAACACCAACCTTACTGATTTTCTGTGTACATTTTTGCTGAAACACTGTTAAATATTCAATTTACTGACAAAAAAGATCCCTACTATATATACATTACGGGAATCCCTACTGACTAGATATAAAGATGAACATCTAAGAAAACAGTAAAAAACTGACCTTCCTCTTTAGTTGTTTACATTCCTGCTGCGTCAGCGTGTCAGACTTGGCTATGACTGGGACTATGTTTACTTTGTGATGAACTGCTTTCATAAATGAGATGTCGAGGGGACGTAAGCTGAAAAAGACATCAGGAATTTTCATGCATCAGTGTAACTTACACCTGAAATTCGTCCATGCAAACTGCAGAGTGGTACATTCACAAGTTTCTCTCAGTTTTTTATCAGAAACCAAATTCTTACAACTGAAATCTTACAATCTTCTTTATTTCTTTAAAAATTCTTTTAAACTTTGAAATGAAAAAAATCTGTCATATTTGTTGATTTTGTTTGCTTAGTTTAGTCTTTTCATTAAATTTCCACTAAGGTAATTGACACTAGCATGAAAAATTTCCAAGGTAGACACTGTTTTCACACATTGCATATTTTTAAGTGATGGTTTGTGAGCTTACCCATGGCCTGATGGGTTTATGAAGTAGAAACAGCAATGAACACGATTATCCACGATATGTCTTCTGTTTAATCCACTCTCGTCCTCCAGGTACCGTTCAAACTGGCTGTCTATGTACTGGATGATGGGCTTAAAACTACAAATAATACACCCTATCTCTTTAACATAGAACCAATATGAAACAGTTTATATACTTTGTAGGGGAAAATAGAAAATTGATTGACTTTTTTAAAAATGTTCAGATCTTTTACATTTTCGAATGTTTGCATGCTTATGGATCTTGCACAGGCAGGCATCACATAAATAAGAATTGTATTTTGAACAGTCAACAAAAACTTAAATATCATTCAATACTTTAGTGGACAGATGTGCTCGTCCTTTTCATGCAAAGTTAAATTCTGTTACTTGCTTCTGGTTGGACAAAAGTTTGTCGTTCTGAGAACAGTATATGTAAATGTAGTTACCAGTCCTGGGAGTTGAGGGAATCCCCAAAGCCCGGCGTGTCCACCACGGTCAGCCTCAGTTTGACTCCACGCTCCTCTATCTCCACGGTAGAGGCATCAATCTTCACCGTCTGCGAAATCTTCTCTGTAAATAAAAGTCATCAAGGTTAGTCAAAATATAACACGGTAGAAAGTCCATACATAATCAATAGGTCCTGTAAAGATCAGTTATTGCATATGATTTTGTAAGTTTGAAAAAAATGAAAATTAAAAGATAGAATAAATGAGAAGTTTACTGAACTGTACCAATCATTAACCAATAGCTATAATACAACCAATACATGATCTTCAACAATTCAAAGCTCTCTTCCTCTGTAAATAATGGCTGTTATCTGAGTGGAAATGATATACATGTACCTATGTATCAGCAGCTGAATGTATGCAACTCTGAGTATAGCTGATATGTACCATATTACTTTTATACGAGTAGCTAGGTGTACATGTTTTCCCCAGTATCCCTCTATATGTCTCTCTGTGATACATGTACACATCATCAGACAAGTGTATAACACTGTGTCTGTCTGGGTACATACCATCAAGTATCTGTTTGGTTTGGGTACATTCAAGCACCTGAGTGTATGTGTCAGCCTTCATATCAGCACTTGAGTGTATTTTTCTGGGTACACACCAGCATCTGAGTGTATGTGTCTGCTTTGGGTACATACCAGCATCTGAGTGTATTTGTCTGGGTAAATACCAGCAGCTGAGTGTATGCGTCTGGGTACGTACCAGCAGCTGAGTGTATGTGTGTTTTGTCTTGGGTACATACCATCACTTGAGTGAACATATCTACCATGGGTACATACCAGCAACTGAGTGTAAGTGTATGTTTTGGTACACACCAGCAGTTGAGTGTATGTCTGTTTTGGGTACATACTATCAGCAAAATGTATCTCTGTTTGGGTACATATTAGCAGCAAAATTTATGTTTGTTTTGGGTACATACTAGCAGCAAAATATATGTATGTTGGTACATACCCGCAGCTGAATGTATGTGTCTACCTTGGGTACATACCAGCAGCTGAGTGTGTGTCTGTGTATGTATAAGCAGATGAGTGTATGTCTATGTTTGATAAATACCACCAGCTGAGAGTGTGTGTGTGTAAATGGTACATACCACCAGCCGAGAGTGTGTGCATGTTTGGTACATACCACCAGCTAAGAGTATGTCTATGTTTGGTACATACCACTAGCTGAGAGTATGTGTATGTATGGTACATACCAGCAGCTGAGTGTATGTGTCTGTATTTGGTACATACCAGCAGTTGAGTGTATGTGTCTGTTTTGGGTACATACCCAGCAGCTGACTGTATGTGTCTGTATTTGGTGTATGTTTACATTTATTACATACCAGCAGCTGAGTGTAAGTGTCTTGGTTTGTACCAGCAGTTGAGTTTATGTGTCTGGATACATACCAGCAGCTGGGTGTATGTGTCTGGGTACATACCAGAATCTGAGTGTGTTTGGGTACGTACCAGCAGCTTAGTGTATGTGTCTGGGTATGTACCCGCAGCTTAGTGTATGTGTCTATTTTGGTTACGTACCAGCAGCTGAGTGTATGTCTGTTTTGGGTATGTACCAGAAGCTGAGTGTATGTGTCTGGGTATATACCAGCAGCTGAGTGTATGTGTCTATTTTTTGTATGTACCAGCAGCTGAGTGTATGTCTGGGTACGTACCAGCAGCTGAGTGTATGTGTCTGGGTACATACCAGCAGCTGAGTGTATGTGTCTGGGTACGTACCAGCAGCTGAGTGTATGTGTCTGGGTACATACCAGCAGCTGAGTGTATGTGTCTGGGTACGTACCAGCAGCTGAGTGTATGTATTTGTCTGGGTACATACCAGCAGCTGAGTGTATGTGTCTGGGTATGTAACAGCAGCTGAGTGTATATGTTTGGTACGTACCAGCAGCTGAGTGTATGTGTCTCTCTGGATACAGGTCTGTCAGGAATAGGCTGTTGACCAATGTAGACTTCCCCAGTCCAGACTCACCTACAACAGATCATCAATGTTTGTAAAATGTGATATAGGGTTGGCTGCCTGTCAAAATTAGCAACTTTAATTGTAAACTATCTTAAATATGTCAAATTTCTTTTATCTTCATAAGATTTTTTGGATGGTATAATCCTTTAAAAGTGTCAACTTTTGATTATATTTGCTGATGATAAGAGTTCACATTCACATTGACATTATGGCCTTGCTGAGCTTTATCACTTATTTGTGCTCTCTAAAATCAAAGAAAAATCAAGGAGCTGATAAAACCATTAAAGGAAAGGGGTTTAGCAGTGGAGAGACAAGCCTAGGAGAGATTGTCATACAAAATCCACCCTATATACATGTACTTATTATAGGTGATTCACTTCCTTCAGTATAATGCTCCACTTTAATCTTGGTGATTTTAATTTACACTAGTTTGTGGTGAGATTTATAAAACACTGTTAATCTTTGGGACACACCCTTCATGTACTTTCAATAAAAGCAAATACCTTCTTGTTTTGACTTTGTTTTGGCAAACTCCTCAAAGCTAATTCTATTTTTAGAGATCATTTTATACTACTCAGTCCATAATTTCTATACAAGAATGAGTAGCAAATATTTCTCCAAACATTTAACTTAAAACAAATAGAATCAACATGACACATCATTTCATTAAGGTATTCACATCCCCAGATCTGACTATGGAAGACAAGCGGTATACTCACCCACCACCATAAGTGTGAACTCGAACCCTTTTTTGACCGACTTTCTGTGAACCTGGTTGGGGAGATTGGCAAAGCCCACATATCCTGATTGCTCTGGTGCTGTAAACTGTAACAGAAAAATCAGATACATCAATTTATTTACTTGTGAAAACGTGTATTGTCTGTACAAGTATTAGGTAGGGTGACAAGAGTCTGAGTTACATTTCATCTCATTGTACATAGTAAAGGAACTTACTAAATGACACATGGTTTATGCAATCAATGAGTTGCTAAACAAGTTGGAAACAAGGGTACAAGAAATGACTTGCTACAAAAGTTGGAAACAAGGGTACAAGAAATGACTTGCTACAAAAGTTGGAAACAAGGGTACAAGCAATGACTTGCTACACAAGTTGCAAACGGGGGTACAAGCAATGACTTGCTACACAATTTGGAAACAGGGGTACAATCAATGACTTGCTACACAAGTTGAAAACAGGGGTACAAGCAATGACTTGCTATACTAGTTGGATACAGGGGAACAATTAATGGTTTGCTTTTGACTTGCCATGCAAGTCCGATATATGTTAGTACAAGTATTATGGGTTCTATTTAAACAGACATAATTTATTAGAAGTGATTTTTTTTTCCCTCAATTTACCTTAAAATCAATAATGTAATAAAATATAAGTATACAACTTTAAATTGTTGACATAAATCACAACACTAATGGCTGTGTGGCTTATTTTTCATTATGTTTAATATAGCATGATGATAAAAATATACTTATCATGCCTTTAATGTGACCCTTTGCTTTTCTTAGCATAATCAACTAAAATAATTTCATCTCACATTCACAACCTTTTCAAAGAATTAAGCTTTGAATTTCATACATTAAGTCAAAACATGTCAGTGTTTTCTTTGATGGTGATGTATGTGAATTTTATATCTTTGTAAAACAATACACATTATGATGGTAGGAATAAAATTAACACAAATTATCTTAAAGTTGAGGTAATTAACATTACAAGACAAAATAGTTGATTATGAAAACATATTCATAATTTCATTACATCCAGAGGAAGTTTTAAATGAACATGTATGTGATTAAATAAACCAACTACCAACATTGTAATAAATTTTCAGAATGCTCCTCTAATGAAACATTGAAAGTGTACCTTTTAGTACAAAACACATACTAAGCATTTTAGAATTTAAACAAGAGGCCCAGGGGCCAAAGCACTCACCTGAGCAGACCGGCTAGGAAAAAGCAAATATCAAATCAGAAATG